CAATTATTTATTATGATAATACATACGACAATTGGGATGATTTGTTCTAACAATTATTATTTTTATAAATTTTTGTGTATTTTTTAGGATATTATAATAATGTATACATTATACCTGTCCTATATATTAATTTTATACTGTCACTTAATTTTCTTCACAGACCGAGTTTTCATGAACTCAATTTTACCTGTTTTTTTTTCCTTGCGGAGGAGTTAACACTAAAAAAAGGTACTTATGACAGAGTTTACAGGCGCCTGATGATTGCATGTATTACTTGCGTCCTCCAAAAAAGTTATATTTTACAGTCAGTACATTTAACTGATAACATGCGTCCCGTTTTATGCAAGTCAACTATATAATTACTATCGATATTATATTATTATCTAATTCTACTACTTTTAGAGTACTTAAAAAAAACACATTACAAGTTTTAAAAAAAACAAAATTTCACCATTAAATTTCATAATGAACGTTTCACTTAGATTTAAATAAATATAAAGCTCTATAAGTATATAGCTGATGCTTGAACTTTGGTTATTATTAATAAATCATAACATGTGAATGTTTTTTTGTTTTTAATTATATTATACTCTATTTGAATTGAACAATAATTATGATTATCATGACAAAATGTAAAACTTATGCATTATTTTGAATTGTATACCTATAACTATTACTCATTATTTATACTTTTTAATTAAAATAAACAACAATGCATTTTTTTTATTAACATTTTTATATAAATTCTATCAATATTTTTGGGACACAATTAGATTATAAAAAAAGGTATACCGGGACACAAATAGGTTATGACAATTTTTGAATCTTTTTTTCCGGGACGCAACTTAACTACGAGTACTTACTGATAATAATTTCGGGCTCAAGTAGGTACTAGGTAGTTTGCACTTGATGTGTTATCACTTTCATCACTTATCAGTTTTAATACTTACGTGTAAGCAGTATATTAATTATTATGTATAGACGTATAGATATCCATGTATTTTTTCTTTTAATACCTACTCTTTTAAACTGTCATGGGTCAGCGTTAACGAAACTTTAGAAAAAAGCTCTGTTGTGCAACCTTAAGTTTTATATGATTTTACGAGGAATAATGTTTGTATCTTTTACAACGTTACGGGTTCATTTGGGACTGTTCTACATAATATCTTTTTTAAATTATAGGTATACCTATGTTTAAAAAATTATAATGGGAATAACGGGATCAGTTCATGGGAGGCGTAGTACAAATGTACAATACGTGTTTAATAGAGGTATAGCACATGGTTTCTAAGTATAGCTTAGCCAGACTAAACACCTAGCAGAATAAATTAAAAAAATTACCTACATTAATTACATTTATGTTTATAACTTAAAATTAAACTTAACATCAATAAATAAACATTAATTGAATTTGACATGTTTGGTCAATATTTAAGGATGTAATATTGATATTTGATGTTTAAAAATACAATAGGTACAATATATTTTTATTTTTGTGTCTGTCATCACTAGGGGTAGGATTTATACTATCCTAAAATCATTAAAATATTATGTTTTTATTTTAAAATAGGCAATATTATATTCTTTTAAAATACCAGATATTTTATATTTTATGTCCTTAAAAATGCAAAATATTCTTTCAATATTAAAAAATACAAAAATATAATCAGTTTAAATTTATTATTTATTAACTTGGTGTACAATAATTTGGTTTTAAATTTATTTTATTCATTTTAATAACTATATTTTGTTCTATGTCTTCAGGTATCATTTTATTACGGAATATTTTTGTCACAAGTTTTACAAAAAATTGTTGTATCGTTTGTTAGTTATTATACGACGAAATCCATTGAATAATTAAACTTTTTAAGTTTTAAAACTTTGAGCTTTAAGTTTTTGGCATATTTGTATGTTATGAACTATTTATTTAATATTTATATAAAAAATATAGGTATTCAGTTTTATATTTGTTTGTTATAGATTATATAGTTATAGGAATGGAAAGCCGAAAGACAATATGTAAGCAATAATATACTCAACATTCAAACATTATGAATAAGCACGTGCTATCGCCATCGATAAAAAATATCTGGTGATATTGTAATTTTCAAAAACCAATTTTGAGTACAAATTCCCTTTTTTCCTTAATTTTTTATTTTTCTCGCGCTTTTGAAAACTACTTTGAATTTTTTACTTTTGATCCCACAAAGTACCAACTAGATTCACTTCCCTATCAGAAAATATGCTGTAGAAGAAAATGGAAATATTTTTACTGTCCCAAAACGTGATGACCGACACAAAATAAACACACACATATTATTGTAAAATCAATAAATCCATCGCTCCGCTCAGAATCTTAAAGTTATACCTAATATAACCCGGCAATATTCTAATATTTAAATTAAAATTAAAATAGCTATGTCAATTAGTCTTCTTCCCCTTTGATATTGAATCTGCATTAAACTGCTCAATAATAGTATAAACATTTATTTTAAACGTCTCTTCAGCATGGTAATATGGCAATTTTTTATACACTTAGGTTTAAAAAAACAAATAATAATCGAAAATTTAATTTGCCTATAAATAGTTCAACACAAATCAAAATATTTTGAAAATGTTATGGTGTATGGAAAATGCTAACACAAACATTCAGTGAGAATGTTACGTATCTACGGTCATTTTTGTTAGAGTTCCACTATAAACCAAAATCGATTATTTTGAAAAATTCCCGTTTTTCCTTAATTTTTTGTTTGTTTTTCCTGTTGCTTTTGAAAACTATTGGGAATTTTAAATTTTGACCTCCCGAATGCACCAAAAAGATTCGCTTTCCTATCACAAACGGTACTATTTAAGAAAACCGAAACACTTTTACATTTACTGCAAAAAATCGTGATGAGTGATGACACAAACAAAAAAAAAATAAATAAATAAATATAAAAACACACATCATAGTTAAATCAATACATTCATTGCTCCGCTCAAAATCTAAAATACAATGAATAATGATAGAATAAATTATTATAATTATATGTGGGTACATAATATATTTTTATCATTTTGTCAAGTGTCCATGGGGGGAGGGGTTGAACCCCGAACCCTCACCCCTTCGAGTACGACCATGATTAGTTGATGAACACATTTTCCTCAATAGTTTTAATCTTATCTTTTATCAGTCATTAGACCACTCTATGTACAATGTACAAATCATAATATTATTATAAACGTGTGTTCATTCTTATTATAACACTGTTCTTACAAGCACATATCTTATAGTTTTATTGTCTTAATTGTTTAGGGCGTTTATTTGCTATAATTAATAAGAATTTATTAAAAACTGAGAACAAATAAAATTTACTGCTTGTTAAAATATTAGTTATTATAGTGAAATAATATATAATATTTTTATTTGGCACTTACATAAAATACGTTTTAGTTATATAATGTAAATTGAGCCTTTGACATCGTTAAGATTTGAGATATGAACTAGATTTTGATGTCAAAATAATATATAAGCTTACAGTAATATCTTTTTTTGGTTACCTAAAATTTAACTGTTGGCACATAAACATTAAAAATAATATAAACAAAATCTTAAATGCCATGTCACGCCATATATATATTTTTAACATATTTCATTCTACGGACACAATAGTATAAACGATGATGACCTAACCTATGTCTGTAGACTGTAGTTGACCATCTACATCACTGCTCTATCACAATTTGTTATAAAATCATATTCAGCGTTGAGCATTGAAATGCATTTAAAAAAAATTTTAATGACCACATTTTCCAAACACAGAGCAAAATATAAAGGGTTGAAAAATAATTTCCAGTGCCATTAATTCTTTATTTACCTCCACAGATTACTTATTCATGCAATTGTGGTGCTATTCATTGATTTATATAATACATATATGGTATATAATAATATATTCTCAAGTTTTTTAGTCTGGCTGGTCGCACAGACCCAATCTATTTTTCCTCGCAAAATTGACTCCATACACTAGTTTCAAATTTCCACCAAGTACTCGTCTATGCCCTTTCTCATTCCATTTTAAACAACATATTATAGTAATACCTTTATAATAACAGTAAATACATTTATAAGCAAATGCATATTATATTGTATTAGAACAAGCTATTTAAAATTTGAATCTTATTAAAATAATACTAACTGTATTTTGCACATTTCAACGTTTTTACCTGGTTTTGCAAAATTTAATACAACATATGTTTTTATCTAAAGTGCATATTTTTGTTTAATTTTATTTTTCACATTCACAGCCACACAAATTTATCATGACTGGTGTCAATGATTAAATTTAATGTTGAGACAACTTTTGATCAGCTTTAAGGTGAAGTATAAATTAAAACGGTTTTCACTTTTTATTTACAGGGATTAAGGAGTGTTATTGCTGAGAAACAAAGTGAAAAAATACCCTTTATAATTTACATAACGTATGAACACAATGCACCGATGGACGAATTTCCAATTTAAATGGGTGAGTGATAAGTGTTTCAAGGCATGTGCTTAGAGCAAGGGGGATGTAACAATAGGGGAAGTCTTGTGTACAGGTACAGTGTACTATTGACTGCCAAAATATTATAAAATGTATTTTTCGCTTATAATTCAGAATATTCAACTAATGACAGAAAATAACAAAAGCATGTAGCCTATGACTTTCTAGATTTCACAATACCTCATTTCAAAGATTTGGTTCCTTCATTAGGAATGTAGATAGATTTATATAAATACAACTAAAATATATACACAATTTGAATGAGAATATTTGGTTCCCAGCATATATTCAACCTACATGATGGTGTTGCAACGCTTTTTTTTCTTACCTTTGAGTTACTTAAGTGTTGCTAGATTGCTCTGATGCGTTGTCACATCTTTTATTTATTGTATCTTACATGCATTTAGTACTTTTCTGCGTTTATACTTTGTTTTTTTTCGTTATAATAATAAATAAATAAATAAATAAATAAATAAATAAATAATTAATAATTAAAGTATAATGTAAAGAATACTCAAAAGAATATAAATATCACACAATACAAAAATGAGTACAATCTAAGAGATTCTTAAAAAAAGTACGGTAAAAACCAAATATATAAAAATAAATTCATTTGAATTTATGTAGACATGAAAACATTAATTTTTTTTTAATGCATTTTTCAAACTAGTAAAATTATGTTTCAATACCACTTTTTGTTGAATTGATAGATATTTGTTCAATTTCCTTATAATTTCATCCAAGCTCGGTAGCTTCTTGCATGATTCTATATTCAACAACATGTTCAGCATGTTACCCCAAAGTTCCTTGTCTATGTATCTATACAATTAAAATATAAATTCGATTAAATTTTGATGGATGATTTTTGATCTGACCTAAAGGATTTAATACATAATGTGTATTGAGTGTAATGAGATATACATTTTAAAATGGTTATTGTCAATACATAAGCTTAATAATTTAAATTAAGTAGTCATTGAGAAACTAAATTAACAAGCAATATAATAAGTATACCTTGGGAATGGTTTCAATGGCACCCATAATTTACGTATTTTTTGAGTTTTCATATAGTCTGACATGAGAACCATGTAAATAATTCCAGCCAATCCAAAATAATCAGTCTATAATAAAATACATTTACTTTATTTTACAAAAAAATAAATTACAACAAAAATATTTACCTGATATGTCCAAGGCAATTTTTCTCTCATTTCATGGCAAATAAAATCAACAGTTTTCACAGTGTGTGTAAAAGTAGTATCAGGAGGGAATAAAGTCATATCAATACTACGACCAAAATCGATTAACTGCACACAAGGTTGATCACATTCACTAGGTCTAAAAAAAGTTTTTATTTCTTAATAATTTAGAATAATTTTATGAAGTACTTAAATGAAACTCACAATGATTTAACAATGACATTATCTGGTTTTAAATCTCCGTGAATTATTTGACATTGGTGAAGGTATTTGAGTGCTGATGTCACTTGTAAAATAAGCAGCGCACCAACAGTTATAGGGATCGACCGGTTCTGTAAGTCATACAAACATTTCGGTATTATTAAGGATCAACAAGTGTAATGTTTGAGTTTATACAACCAGTAGTTCATAGAGATAGAACTCATTTGTATTATGTTACATATAATTTCTTTTTGGACTTACCATCGCCATTTTGTAAGCTAGAATCATAGATAATAATGTCCCATGAGTAGCAAATTCCATAGAAATTATTGATCCATTTTTGAAAATATACATCTGATCCATGTTTATGAAATAAGATAATACCTTTAACAAAAAATTAAAAATAACATGTCTGTATAGTAAAAAAATGTATAATATTATCCAAAATGTATTTGTGTAAAATAATATAAGTTGTTTACTTTTTCAGAATCTTTAAGGCGATGTTGTATTTCTTTACTTATATACCATTCCCAAGCACAAGCTGGTTTTTGAATTTTAAGCGCTCTTGCTATAGTATTTTCACCATCTGGTCTAACTTTCACCACACGTGCGTATGATCCTTTACCAATTTCATTGATAAGCAACATTTTATTATGACCTAGATGATATGACATTGGTTTTAGTATTAATTTCTAAATGTTTATTAATTTTTCTGATTAATGCACTATCAGTAATTATTTATTGAAATAAGAATATGTCAGAAGAGAAAAATGAAAAATATAATAAGCATGACAGAGAAAGCCATCCATTAATAGTGATAGGAACTTTTATTACTTTTGGTACAGTTCCAATAATGAAAAATCCCAAAAACTCTTACAAACATATTATTACTTTTTTTATAAAATTTAAAATATTTTATGGTGCGTATAACACAACAGTAAAACTGTTAACATTGTAAGCTAAACCTAAGGAGTTGAAAAATAAACATTATATAATAATAAAATTATATTATCTATTTATACATTATAAAGTAATAAGGTAGGAATATAAGTAATAGAAAGTAAGAAAATAGGGGGCTAATAATAAATTGTAACTTGTGGTAATAAGTGAACAAATATTTGTAGGAGACCATTTTGTAGTTTATATCTTTGTACCCAAGAAACAAATGTGTAACAACCATTATAATAAGACATAGGTACTTGTTACACCAATGGTATTGTTACATTGCAACGGCCTATTACAATCCATTAGTGACATTTCTTTAAGTTTATTAACATATTTATACATACCCAATTTGAATTCTGATCGCATACTTGGCAAGTCTGATTCCTGTTCTACATAACCAGATTTATGATGTTCATTAGGAAATTTAATTACTTTTTGTAATAATTTGGTTATTAATTCATCATCAAAAGGATTAATGGAATCACCTAAATAAAAATAAAAATCAGCTATAATTTATTCAAAGTATTATTTGCTTTTATTTTGAGCATTATATATTATTATTATTATTATTATTATTATTATTATTTTAACACAATATCAAGATACAATTTAGTCTCTATACTATAAGTGTATAAATAGTATAAATAGTAAAACATTAAATAATATTTATGTATATCAACATATAAATCATAAATGGTGATAAAATTTCAAAATTTTACACAAATTATCATACCAAAATGAATTGAAGATTGCTGTTCTACTTTTGTAACCGATGAAGAAATAACTCCAGATGAAGTGCTACTATTACGTTCTTTAGATGCTTCCAATATCATGCTCAAATTTTTTCCCAGTTGAAATTCTTCAGTTTCGTTGTTTTTATTATGCTCAACTTGCCTAAACCAATTAATGTGAAAGATGTTGTTATTGTAAACAGTATATTATATCATTCTTAAAATGTCAATTAATTGTACATACGTTAGTGGTTTTTGTTGATTTTCAATGACAGTATTAGGTTTGGTTCTTCCTGGGGCCAATGGCGTTGAACTAGACAAAAGAAAAGCAAAAGCTTTTGTTGAGCAAGTTATGTCATCATCATTTACTTCAATCTAAAAAAATTAATACAATATTTGAATGAATACAAATAAATTAATATCTACAAATTATTAATTGAATCATGGATAATAAAAATAGAATAAATTACATACTAAATTACATACATCTTCAATTGGTCTATATTTAGAAAACTGATTTTACTAAAAAGCATGTAGCTTGAAATAATTTGTAATATTTGTCTGATTTATATCATAAATGCATATTTATAGATTTTAAAGGGCATCAACAACTTGGCTATTTAGGGTATGAAAATTTAAAAATAAGTACATTTATACATTAACAAATTATGACATTTGGCGTATCACAAAAATGTACAACATTTAAAATTTGAACACAGTTTCTTTTAAAGTCATAAGTTTTTTTTTAGTGATACAATACAAAAACTCTGAAATATGCACTAAAAGCATATTTTGGTAATAAATTATTTGTAGCATAAATAGTATTAAAAAAATACACTAATTCTGCGTTTTGAGCCCTGGTAATAACTTAAAAAACTGTATTGTTATTATTAAGTTACTAACTAAAAACTTTAAAAATAATTTTGCTTAATTTTAATTTCAACCAAGTTATTGACAAGGCTTAACATAATAACGACTTCTGTATGTATAGTATGTAATTAACTTACACTTTGAATTTTTTTGAGAGGAGATTTGCCTTCATTACTTGGATTAATTGAATTGTCTTTAGTTATGTTAACTTGTTTTTCAGTATTTTTGGTATCATAACTTTCATCCTCATAAACATCATAATTTTGAATTTTATTAGGCAGTTTAAAGTTTTTATCATTTTTTAATTCAATTTTTGAACCACCTTTGATAATACTACTTTCTTTTTGACCCATGAATTGATTTACTTTAGAACTTTTTTTACTAAATACATTTTCATCATTATCAACATAAACGTCTGGTATTTTAAAATCTTTTCTATTATTTTCATCATTTTCATCATTTTTATCAATGTACACTTGAAATTCATTATTTTCTACTTGATTTTCATCATTGTGATCAACAAATACAGTAGGTTCTTTATGAGATTTTGCTTTATTGTCGTCATCTGTATAAACATAAAAATGCCCTGGATTTTTAACTTTATCTTTTTGTTGTATTTGAAAGACTTTGTCATCAACTGGTGTTTTGTCATCTTCATAAACCATAAAATCTGATGGAAGAGGCTTGATGTTATTGTCAACTTCTTCAAATGCATCAAACAAAATTGGTTTTCGATCTCTTAAAATTAATTCTGGCTCTTCATCTTTATCTAGGAATATACAAAAAAATATTAAATTCAATAAAGGCTTTACATTTATAACTTAAATACGTTACCTGCACATGGACTATTCCACATTTGTTGAACTAAATCAATTGCAACTCGAGTGTTGACAGTGACAGATTGACTTAAAGGGTCAGGCTCATTGTTACGCAGTGGAAGTGGAACCTAAAAGTTTTATATTAATTTAATTTTCTATGTAAATTCAATCAGGTTTATATACAGCTTATACAAAAAATCAATAAAAATAAAAATTTAATTTTAAGTTTTTTATTTAACACTAAAATGTGTGCCAATTAACTATTTAGTATTTATATACTACAACAGCTGGTTTTAAAGTACAATTTTATTTTAATTTAATAATCTAACTAGACACAATCCTGGATGGTTTAGATTCACAATTGGACCCGATAGGTCCTACTCGGAGAGTTTCTCAAACAGAGATTTTAAGATTTACGAAGAAAATATTTGTTTATATACGGTTGCTATTGGTTATAGGAGAAATATAAATATATTTAGTAGAAATGGTTATTTTTTTTGTTTATTGGTTGCCTGCAGTGGTTCATAAGGCAAATTAGGTATAAGCATGCATACAATTGCATTTTCGCACATTTCCTACCAAGGTGACTGAGTTGCACTTATAGCTGCCCAACGACGTGTCCGCAATCAAAATAAATATAAAACATATTATTTCAAGAATACACAGGTTATACTATTGAGTCTCATATAGAGTTGGCATTTTCAATGGGCAACAAAGTGCACGGGATCAGCTAGTAATATATAAATATAATACTAATGAAAAAATATATACACATAATATATATATGTAAATTAAAACTTTATGGTAGAAATCACAAAACACATTAATTATTAATTACCTTAAATTCATCATTATCTTCTGACAGAATAACTTTTTTCAAAGGTTTCACAATTTTTTCTTTTGGTTGCGATTTTGCTGGACAATGTGATTGTTGTTTATCTTTTAACGATTCTATTTTTGTTTTATTAACAAATTGAAATAATAAATTAGTCTCAATAAGTACTAATATATTAAATTAATTTTAAATACTTACGCTTTTCTTTTTCTTGTTTTAAGTAGATCTCGTACCTGATTTCTTCAAGTTGCACATCCCTACCAGCCGCATACACCTATTACAGAGTAAGATTGTATAAAATGTAACACAAATATAGGAATGAATTTTCATAATTCCTAACCATTATGGAGAAAATTATTTGTTAAATTACTTTAGTTTTAAGTTAATCAAATAAATAAATATATTGTTTTATTTATTTACTTAGAATTATTAGTTCAAATAATGAATACATATATTATAACTCAAAACAGAACATATTATATTTGTTTGATGCTAAATTATAGACAAATAACTGAGAAATTTAATGAATTAACTACATCAGATAGAGTATTGAATGAATTGATAATTAAAAATGTACAGTAGTTTATCTAGCAAAACACAACAAAAAGCTTAACATTTAGTACATAACTCAATACACATTATTTTGCTATAGTAGCTCTTTTACGAGCTTTTTAACAAATACATATTTAGATGGTTACAATAGACATCTAAAAAATATTTTCACAATATTTTAAGTTTTTTAACACTTTAAATCATTCTTAATAGACTTGTTAATTTTTAATAAGTATTGCATGTGGAAAGTTGATAAAATAAATATTTAAGTAGAATACTCCAAATTTAATATTTTCACTCACCTTTTCTTTACAATACATTGGTCTTTTAGTAGGATCTGGAGGTTCGAATACAGCGACTGGACAGGAAATATTAGTATTTCCTTTAATGCTACGTAACGCATTAGGAACAGTTATACCAGATAATTTTGTTACACATTCCAAATTATTATCCTGGTGCACTAGAATTTTAAATATTAGACAAATTAAAACAAATAATACATTTTTATAGTAATATCTTAAGAAAGTCAATTGAAAAATACTTATATATAAATTATCTTATTATATTGAGGGTTAGATATTTACGTAAAATAAAGGCTTTCATGTATAAAAAATTTATAAAAATATTAGTTAACTAACATTGAATGTCCCTATGGAAAGTAGGAAAGTGTTAATATTTATCATAAGAACTATGATTTTCTAAGATGTTATCATTATTTTATGTTTGTTATTCTTTTTTATGAAGATTTAAAATTTTTATAATAGAAATAAAATCATAGTTTTACTATAAAATCTTGTAAACAATACAATAAATGTTTTTCGATCCATTGCAATAAACAAAAACAGAGAAGTGTAATATAATTATTTTAAATAACAGATTAGTTCCAGTGAAAAAGCATAAAATGAAAAATATTTATTGGTTTACAGCTATATTATAATATCAACTGCAGCAACAAAGAGTCATTATCAGTTTTTAAACATTTTTTAATTTGGTTTTATAATTTTTTTGGAAACAAAATATACAAAAAAGAATGAATATGTATACAGGACTAATAGACTTGGAAAATACTGGAAAAAATAACACCAAATTTTGCATACATATTTTTAAGATTCGGGGTAATGATCTTTCCTTTGTCTTTGAACTAATAAATTCCTGTTTACATAGTTGGCTCACAAAAATTAAATACATTTTTTTTATGTATAGGGTTGGCATTTGTTCCTAAAAGATATTTTAAATAAAAAAAATTTTTTTTTTAATTGTTCGGTTGGTTATTCAAACATACATCGAAAGGAACCCTCGAAATACTTAGGCTATGTTTTTAGCTTATAGAATCAAAAAATACTAGTCTGATTTCGACAAAAAATCTTTAAGTATCAGAGAAGTGTAGAATAGTTTTTAACCATGCTTGAAAATATACTAAATGCTAAATCCAATTTCTCACAGGAAAATTGCCAATCTTGGTTGAATAAGTTCACAAGGGAGGTTCACTGATGTTAATTTCCATTAGACAGCGCTGTATTATTTATTTGTTTTATTATTCAAGGACGATGTCTAGTTATATAGTTAGTACTATTTACGATTTAAGATATACCAGTTACACAACTGATATGTAAAATAATACGAATTTGAGGCCTATTCCTTTATTCAGTTTAGGCTCCTAAATGCATGTAAAACTAATGTTTAGGGTTACTAATGGAGAATTACAATAACTATCAATTATTGTTTATTTAATATTATCACGATTATAGATGATAATAAAACTATAAAAGTATAAATACTAAATAGTATATAAATGTATAAAACTAAAAAGAAATTATCAAAAACATTTGTCATTTGTAACTTTGTAAGTGTAACCACTATTTCAGATATCATTATTCCTTAAATAACACTTAAGTCAATTATAAACCATGCCGTGAAACGGTTTCAACTCTTTTCCACCAGGACAGCTACAGCTTAGTTCTACATGCGTTTTCATAACTGATCGGGAAGAGGCATTTTTTTCTGACTAGTTGTGTAACCAGTTTACCTTCAACCATGGTACTATTACTATTACTATTACAGATAGTACTATACTATTCACACCTAACCTTATTTTCATCAAATTTAGTATTACAAGTTAGTAAAATGATCTATAAGCAATGACTAATTATCACCTGTTATTTTTATTTAATAATTATTATTTATAATGTAACTGACCTTCAAAGTCAACAGTTGATACAGGTTTAGGAGCTTTCGAGCGAGTCTTTTTAGGTTTAGTCCATGGTCCGGGTTTTATTGTATTTTCTTTATTTAGTCCTTTCTGAGCAAGATCACAATTGCTAGTTGCAATTCCATGTAATCCATTTTCATCATTATCCTATATTTAATTATATAAAATCATAAATTTGTTTTTTACCAAATTTTTTACTAATGCTTTACTTCAAAAATCCTTAGTACAGTGGTTTTTCCATTGACATTGTTTATTTGTGGTACTTTTCCAATAACTCCACCAAAACCATGTCTGACACCACTGTGCGTTTCAGACTTTTTTAATACATTAAATGCTTGTCTTTTTTCAGGTTCTTGGTTTTTATCGTCATCATTTGTTAACTGTCCATTAATCATTCGTCTGGCGACACTTAATTGGAATTGGCTAAAAAATAATTTAAAAATATTTAGTTTACTTTTTATTTGAATGAAATAAATAAAGCTTACAGATGAGCTTGTTCAAGTTCTGCAACTGGTTCAGCATTAGCTTTAATTCCCAACAAAAATATTTGATCCACACGTTTAAAATCATTGTATCTATCCAATAGCTCTGCCCATGCACGATAAAATAAAGCACACATTGTACCTATACCTTGGTTGTAAACAGTTTGATATAGCTCAATAGCATTTGATTGGTTTTCAATCTAAAATATTGACAGATTATTTAATTACCTCAATTTCATTAATACATGTTTTTATCAAGCTTATTCTATGAAATAAAAATGGATATTTACAAAATTAATTAGAATTGTAATAAATCTTGGATCCTGTTTGTATCTTGCATCATTTTTGAATTTTTGTACAGTTTCTTCAATAAGAGGAAACAAATTGCTCTCTGGTCCATGTTTTAAATATATTTGTTCCAGCCACTTCATATACTCAAAATGTGGAGCTAAAGGATCATCACCTTCATATGTACGAATAGCATGTTCATATTTTCTTATAAAAAAAAAATTATTTATTACAAAACATTGTATTATAAACAACATTTTTTATATAATTCTTTGAACCAAAAAATAAAAATTGATAAATATTATATTTAATGTTTTAAAAACACATACTATATCTTAATAGTTAAAATTAATTAAGATAATTGCCGTCCAGTTCACCAGATTTTTTAAGGGTACTCAAATGAACATTAAATGTTGATCCACCACCTTAATTTAACAGTTTAGACAAAAAATAAAACAAAAGAAAAATTTCAAAGAAGAAAATATATATTGATAATATAATGTAAAAATTGATTGTCCAAATATGGAGTGCCTAAGTTAATTTAAATAAATAACCCAGTTATTAATAGCAAAACCAGTTTTTTTTCAGTGACGCTCTCAACTTTAAATTGAATAAACATTGGAATAATACAGAATGTAAGCATGAGATAGGCATAAAAATCAATTACAAAAACAAGTAGCTGCATATAAATTTGTAGTTTGATTGTTTTAAATGCTTAAAAAATAAATACTATATACACATCATAAATAATAAATCAGTATAAATATTGATAATTACTATTCTTTTTTAAGTCTTTAGTAAAATGATTTTCTTTTATTTAACTTACTCTTTCTCTTTATTTAACTTTTGTTGAATTTCCATATTAGATTGTGCTTGTAAAGCAGTTTCTAACTGAATAGGTTTTCTACCTTGTCGTAGTGGTCTAATATTTTCTTTAGTCAAATCCAATGCATCAGACGTATCCACAGTATTCATTGTTTTCTATAAACAATATTAAATTTAATTAGGTAAATCATACAGTGTCACTGATAAAGTTACACTGTCAAATGTGTTGTAAATTAGGTTAAACCATAATCATTATCATACAATCTATGATCTATTAGACAAAAATTTTAATTTCAAATAAATCAGATATCAGTGTATACCTATTATTATATGTAAATATTAATCGAGATATTAATACCTAGGTATAAAGTATAAACTAAATATTAACAATTTTAAAAAATGTGAAAGAATATTATATGAATAGTATAAAAATAAACTTAATACATATTTATTCAGATAAAAAAATTGTTAAATAATAATAAACATAAAAAATCAACATAATTTTTGCAATTGGTAGTGCTTTAGGTATAAACATATAGAGGTGTATAGTACTGTATACATAATATAAATTAAACTAAAATGTCTTTCTCATTGACTTTCAAAAATAAAGAAGATAAATAAGATAGGCAAGTACTTAATGAAAAAAAAATGATAGTAATGAGTATTGAAAAATAAAAAGCATTTTAGATAAGATATCCAAGTGGAATGAGCTAGGGCAATCCTATTTCCATAAATTAAAATGTAGTGATTTAACCAAAGGCTTTGCCTGTCAAGTGGATTGTTTAAGCTATTAATACAATTAATAAATTAGGAATAGCAATTTTATAAAAATAAAATGCATTTCAAACTATACATTCACTCTTTAAACAGAGTAACAGAAGGCCTCAACTATTTGAAATATTAAACTAAGACAGTTCTTAAATACAACTAGGCATGCTATACTTAAAGACAGAACTATTTAAAACTCATAATTGAAATGTAAAGAAAAATTATTCAAATGTGATTTCTACTACACAAATAATGAAATAGAACAATCTGGATTTTTAGTCGAATAATTTTAGATGACTTAAAATATTAACATTTCATTTTTGAGAAGTTTAAATGCTTCATAAATTAACCAGAATGATAACATGATGCTGGAGTAATTATTTCTAAATTCTAAGGAAGATGAGAATATTACTAAGTATTTTTTGTGAATACAATTTAAATTTTCTGCAAACAATTGTACAGATAAAAGAAAACATGAAATACGTCACATTCCATATTAATTATTAACAAATCAGAAGTCAGATATTGATGAACCTTTGAAGAGTCAATTTGTAAGGTTATGGTAAGCACGCGAGGAGAACCCACCAACAACTGCGGAGCTTTTAACAAAATATGAGCTGCTATGGGCTGGCGCTCCGCGTTAGACATTGGTTGAGGTAATTACGGGGTAACTACAGCGTATAGACCAGGTACAGGTTATACACAGTATATGAGGGATGAGACGAGTTTAAAGATATTAAGCATGATGATAAGTAAAGAAAGGGGTTAGTATATTTTAAACGAGTCTGTTGCTTCTTGAAAATACTATAATAATACTTAATAATACAAAATCATGCATATGACTAATAATTTGTTGGTGCATAGTAATCACGAATACCACATCTTAGATATTCAAATATACACATTGCGACGCCTAGGATGCGCACTTAAGAAAGTCATATTGAGGCGTGGGCTGTTGGTATTTCCTGGAACGATAGCTGGCGGACACAGCATCCGTAGGAATGATACTCGTATCAAGAGGGCTAGGAGAAGTAGAGGGTAGGCCTATATAGGAGACCCCCGAGCAGCCCGTATTCAGATGTGATTTGACCAGACGAGCCAGAGCACCTTCACGCCAGTCAGTCTTTTATTGTAGTATTTTGTACTTAGAATAATTTCAAACAGGACTTTGAAAATATTCGATTCAACTCGATATTTTTCTGAACACTCTGAGTAATTCTTTATGACAAATATTCTAGCATAGATTATTCAATCCACAGTTTTAAATTACATTTGTTTTTTTTTTTTTAAAGTAACAAAGTAAGGGTCAACAAATGCGGTTTTTATCGAGCTTCGTATCAGACGCTAACATTATTTATTACTGCAATTTCAATACAAATGGAATGGGGGAATGTTACATTGGTTACATTAATATGCGATAAGCAACTTTAAATAAGATTCTGATGTGTAATAAATCGCGATTTCGAACATTACGTTACAACATGTTATTGTTGTGACAATAGCCCTGGGATGTTATTCTAAACGCGATTGGTATCATTTCTGAGAATCCACGAGTTCGTAACAGGACCTTTAGTAGCAGACGATTAAATTTGCCCAAAAACAAAAGATCGCGCGATGTATATTGTGTGTGTGTGTATAGATCTTACCTCGGCGACCGGAACAATTTCCGTATCCGTGATCATCGTCAAAACGTCGCCGGCGGACAATGCGAACGAACCTCCAGTCGGCGGCGACGGGAAAACACGCGATGTGAGAAGATGACTCGGCTCCGTGTAGCAAGACAATATTTATATTCAAACAGGATGGATAACGGCGGATTGCCAACAGACGCCGACGAGAGCGCTCCGTTTGTACCAGACGACACGGCGGCAGCGTAACGTATTTCGCAGTATTCGGCGTCGCGTCCCGCTGTTCACCGTTTCGTCCCGCCGGTTTTGGAGGCGTGAGTCCGACACTCTGACGTCCGTCCATCGAGGCCATCGTATTTATAACAATATTAATTTAGCCGTCGACTCATCGGTCGTGTTCATGCCACCGCACACCCCTCACCCACTCTACGGTAGCGACGCATATTATTAATATTGTACCACTATTACTAATTACTATTTATTAGTACCATACTGTCCATACTAATATTAATAAAATATATGGCAACATGACCAAGCAATATTATCATACATCATATTATAAGATGATATGCAATATTAATACATTTTATAATGCATACAGATACAGTCTAAGAGCAAATTGGAATATTCAGAAAAAGCCAAAAGGCCGTTTCCAAAAATGGTCGGACACTGCATTCTTAGACCATGACCAAAATCTAAATAATTTAGTCGTGGCTTAAATGATCGTTTTCTCTCTATTCGCCGATTATGAATTTATAAATTAATAAATAATCGCATAATATTATAATAATTATTGTTACGGCCGAGACTGGCGGCGGCGACTATCGAAGAGTGTTCACTCAGTCGAGTAGCCGACGCTACGTATTATAATTTATATTTAATATTAATTTATTATCAGGTAGGTATACGGACAATAGTACATACAGTTTTAGTACATCTATGTCCAATACCCATTTTTACGGCTTTACAATAAATTATGCCCATATCATTAATACATAATATCGCGATGACGTCATCGTTATTATTACTATTACTATTGTCATTATTATTATTATTATTATTATTCTTTAGCGATAATTTCCACCTCCACAACCATATTTTATTCCGTTGTACTGTTGTAGTAGGAAAAAAAAATACAATTTACGATAATCCGTGCTCGAAACGTTGTGTTATCTCGTCGAAAGTAAACAGCAGTCAGCAATAATAGTCGTCACTCATTGAACTATTGAAATATTCCTACCTATAAATTATAATACCTATTATAATATTGACTTTCATTATCGTCGGCCATCCGCGAAACAGCGTTCACTGATCGTATGAAACGACGAAAACTGTCGAGGAAACGTTCGGCGTAATAATTATTTGCTTTTTCTCGCACAATTGTTACTATTCTCGTCGCCGTGTTGCGTTAGCCGGCTAATCGCTTTTTTCCCACCTATAGTTAGTGCAATAATTGTTAAAGTGGCTATTACGTCGATAGTTTAAAGTTTTTTTTGTGTCTCGTTTTTGCGCTTCTCGAAAATTTGATTGTATTGTATCATAGATACGATTCCGATTTTTTTTTTGCTTTACTAGTTTACTGCAATAATGTCATCAAATGTGGGCGATGGAGTGCCGGATGGTGTGGATGGACTGTACGACGTTTACAGTGTCAGCTTCTGGCTAAAGGTGTTGTTAAATGGTAGTCTAGTTGCCATTATTACGTTTCTGTTGATGAAAATATTCATGAAACGCAATGAGCCTCAAGTCGAAGAAGAGGATGATGTGACGTTACCAAAAATGAAAAAGAGAGATTTCACCATCCAAGAGTTACGCGAATTTGACGGCACCAAAGGTGACGGACGCATTTTGGTAGCGATCAACGGAAAAGTGTTTGACGTTACTAAAGGAAAACATTTCTATGGACCCGGTATGATTTTTCACATGCTACACAATCTTGAATTCAGTTCAGTGATAACAGACAATAAAATACTTTTTTACCTTACAGGTGGTGTTTACGCAACATTTGGTGGACACGATGCTTCTCGTGGCTTAGCTACATTTTCAGTTAGTGGTAAAGATGAATATGATGACTTAAGTGATTTGAATTCATTAGAGATTGAGTCTATGCTGGAATGGGAAACTCAATTTATGGGTAAATATAACAATTATAATTGCTACCATTTTAGATAAATTTTATCAAAATGGTAAATAATAATAATCATACTTAAATGTCATAATTCTGAAATAAACCCATAATACAATTATATTTTAGAAATAACTAACGGATAGATTACCTAGACTCTTATTTTTTTATAAATACATAATTATGTAGTAAAAAGTTGACAAAATGATCACGATTTATATTAGATAAATGGTGTACTAGATAGGTACTTGCTTATTTTTTTTTTATTATTTATCAATATGTAGTTTGATATCAAGTAGGTACTTAACTATAAGTAAATAGGTCACTATAGCATTAGAATAAAATCTATTTAAGTAAGAAGCTATAAGTCAAAACTGTAGTATTGTATAAAGCTTGTTAATGATTATATAGATGAATGAATAATATTAAGTACATTACTAATTTTTAATGTTTAATAGTATGCATACTTTTCTTTTTTTATCATTGGCAGTGATGCAATGTAATGTATTTAAAAGAATATTTCACAAGCAATTTCCAACTAAATCTTTTGTTTATACCAAAAACAATTTTTTTTAAACAAAACATGTACCTTTTCGTATGACTGATTTAAAACCTTTGTATATATTGATATAAATGTTTCCTTACTTTTGTTTAAAATATGTAACTATGTTGTTAGTTCTCTACAAAGACTAGAATTTGTATGCATTAATTCCGAGATTAATTCTGAAACATGGAAAAAAAGCCATGTACCTACACAAATCCTAGCCCATTTTTTAACATTGTCTATGTGTCTTGTGCCTTTAAAGTACTGTAAATTTATACAATTGATTGAATTAATAAATGCACAAAATACTAGCCTAATTATTAACATCATGTATTTAGTTAAGAACATGTGTGTATTTATTTGATTACTTACACATTATACATTTTATATACTGACTCAAATTTCAATGATTGTTTTGTTATTAAAATTATTTGGCACCTAAGTTGTTAGAATTTAAAAAAAAAGTGTTGTACCTTGATAAATTATGTGTGCATAATCTACATAATAAATTTCATGTGTAACTATATACTGTATTAGGTATTTATATTTATGTTCAAAAAACATTTTAGGAGAACTAAGTTAGCTGGCTTTGTTAAGTTAAAGGTAATATACGTAGTAATATTGGTATATCATAGAATGAATCCTTTTCACTTTGATTAACCATTTGTTATTCTGTAAAACTTTTTCTTATTGACATATTTAAAATGTACGAGTAAAAACTTCTAAATAAAAAAAACGTAGGTCATCTTGGGTCATACTGATAACTTATTCATTTTATGATAATTCATATATAATATAATAAACACAGTACCTATAATTAATTAGAGCGTACAAGTGTAAATATGATTTACATTTATAATATATATTTATATATTATTTATTTTAAGACAACTCTTGTTCAGTATTATTGTGTTAATATTTCATGTAATGTATTATACTTATAAGTTTAAAAATTCATTTTGTAACAAGTAATATTGGCTTTCCAATTCCTTGCCATTTTATACCTGTTGTATCATTTTTATGTATTGAATTCTCAGCTCCCCTTTATGATTTATTAGTTAACTTCTAATATCAAAATATTAGATTTAACAACAGAGAAACACATTTCTTACTATTCATATCATTTTATATGGCAACATCTTTTTATAAGCATCAATGATACATGTATATATTTTATTTTTTACATATCATCTTATGTAATGGCCCATACATACATACCTGTAATTGAATGACTATTTTATGTCACAAATTTTTATCTTACGAATTAATCAGGTTTTATTGGTTTATGGTTATTATTATTATTGTCATTATTTTCTAAAATCATCATGGACTAAATTATTTTAGATAATAAAATGTATAGTACCATTTTTTTTCAATAATTTAATTAAAATATTACTATTTAAAATAAAAAAGCCATAAAGTAGATATCTGTTTTGCTACACTGAAAGTATCGGGTATACCTTGTTATTGAATAGGTCACTATAATGGATGCATTATATTTGAATTTAATGATTAGATTAGTAGAAATATTATTTGCTTAAAATATTACATTTATTAGTATTATTGACTTTTGAGTCAAAACCTGCTTACCATAGAACAGTGTAAATATTTTTTTCATATAAATAAGCAAACATTTAACGACTAGAATTTTAAAAAAATAGCTCAAAATGTTTTGAATATTTTGAAAATTATACCATGTTAGAGTTCTAATATTAGGAAAAATATCAGTTATCTACAATTGTTCATGGTTTTATTAATTATTAAGAAAAATACTGGGAATTTTTACTTTTACTCTTTAAAATACCAATTAGATCCACTTTGAAACCACAGAAAAAAATATCTAAGTTGAATAATAAATCACTTTTACTCTTTCAAGAATAATGATAGACACAAGAAAACAAAAAAAAAAATCATATAAAATCAGCACATACATTTAACTGCCCTGCTTAAAAATAAAAAAAACCTTAATGATTTACTTTAACTAATTATTTTTCAATTACTAGAAAATAATAAGTTGTCTAATAATATTTGCATTTAAGAAAATTATTCTGGGCTCCATTAAAATATGCAGCTTAAACAGCTTTCCAATTAATTATCATCATTGTTAACCCAATGCAATATTATCTCAGCATCTTAACTCGTTGTATAAAATAGCAAACTTAAAAATGTTAGAAAAACACATTGAATTTAAATGTTAGTAAGTAATACCGATGATACATATTCTTAGGTTATACTAAGATAAGATCTTGTCATATATATTACATAAATACCTCCACTATAATTGTCATATAAATTTATCACTGGCTATTATATTTTTGCATAATAATCATTTATATCTTAATGAGTTTTTAAAAATGAATAATGGTGATCGCAACTATGCAGTAATGGGAAAAAAATGCATTTATGTTGCATGATCTGGACATGTATGCTTTCAATTTTCAAGAAATAAATGTCAACTAAGTTCTTAATCCTTATTATTTATCAATTTAAATGTTATTGGTTTGTTCGATGATAAGTTAACTTTCATAGATCATGTTCATTACTAATATTTTATTTAAATATTGGAAAAGAAAGTTTGGATTCCATGCATTTCATTACAAGGTAATAAAGAAAACAAAATATCAAACATTGCTTAAATATTTTCATCAATTTTTATTTGGCACTACGAATTATAAAAAAAAAGATAATTCTATAAATCAAAATTTAAAGTTTATAAACATAAATCATATATTTCACAACTTGTGTACAGCCTATTATTTCACTGGAGTTATATTTACAATATTAATTAGAAAAGAGGTGAATGAGTTAACCGCTTTGCTGCTCAGTAAGTGTTTACTGTTTAGTGTACCTTCTCGTAGAAGAATAAGTCACTAAAATTTGTGAGGTGAATTTGAATTCAATGATAAATCATAGAATGTGAAAAACAATTCTGAGCTATTAACCTAATTTATTTAACTATTATTAAATTAAGTAAGTTGAATTGATTTTTGCCGAAAACATTACATTTAAAAATGTCATCATTGTGCGTATAAAATTGAATAATGTACTTTAAAAGTTTCAAGTATCCACAAATAATATTTTTAAAATACAGCAAAATAACTAAAATTGTTATTCTTTGTTTCGATATCTAATTTTATCAAATAATTTAGTTATTAGTGTCTATAAAAAACATATATTAATGTATTAATATATTTTTCGGATTCTTTGTTGACAATAAGAACTACTTATAAGAAACATTGTATTTAAATTTTCAATCCTTTACTATAAAAATTGAACATTTTATACATTTTTAACAGGAGGCCACACCCAGATGTGTTATCTCCATATTACAAACGTACAACATGGCAAATTTTACGTTCACAATAATAGATTTACATTGTCATTTCCAAAATTAGAGTAAATTGGCCTCTTATAAAATTTAAAGGTAAGATTATTATCCAGGGCATCTCTGAGGCTTTCATTGATATTTTTATGAAGTAACAAGTAATAACCAATTTCAAACTGTATATTTCTTGTACATTTTAAAGTGATCATGTCTTACTTAAAAATAATAATATCAATTAAGTCCTCTAAGATATCATAGATCTTATCTTTACATTTTATCATGGGTCAATTCACTCTAATTTTAAAAATAAATGGATTTTCGTTAACATAAAATGTACTCTGTATGTTTGTAAAAAGGAGACAATACATGTGAGTGTGGCATATTCTCTTAAATCCAAAATTATTTGCAAATTTTCATGATTTGTACCATTTTTATCAAAATGTGTTCCTCAAATGCTAATAAAAAAAAATTGTGCCTGTATGCATATTATATTTTTTAATTGTTAAGATAAACCACTTAAATTAAACTTTGTATTAAATTTTCAAGAATTTTGAACCAGCAAAAAATGTTCATCAACACCTTCATTAACATTTATAGAAAAAAAATCAGAAAATTCAAATTTTATATATCTATTATCTATAGATTAACTCAAGAGTCAAAATATTTTGATAGTTGAATAGTTCTATGGTGTTTATAAAATTATATATATCAGTGGTTCTCTAACTTTTTTTTTGCGTACCACTCATGTGTATTATTAATCTGTTGCATACCACTACTACCACTTATGTCTATTTCCATGTGACCATATTCAAACACAAATGTTGACTTAAAATACTCATAAAAAATGTTTATGGCAGTCTGGTGTACTTTTTTTTGGAAGGTAGAAAAACTTATGGGGAATCTTAGGTATGAAAATAAAATGATTTACAAATTTCTAACTACAAAATAATTTGTATATCTGCATTTTTCATGAATTTACACAAAATTTAACTTTAAAAGTTTATATTTAAAATTAATAACTTTTGAGGAACCTTTTATTTAATCTTTTCCGCCAAGCAAAATAATTTGTATTAACATTTTTAAATAGAAAATTGAAAATATCCTTAAATATCTCAAAAAGAATCAAATATTTAAATTATTTTATCTTGTATAGGAAACCCTAACAAAAAAATTTGGTGAAAGTTTCATGTATCTAAGGAAATTAATTTCAAGTTACAACAAAAATACAAAATTGATAATGTCAAGCACTGGTTTTGTTTTGTGTAATAATTTCCGGTTTTTCTTAATTTATTTTTATTCCCTCATTTGTTTTGTGATAAGTACCTACTTATTTTCAATTTTATTGTTGATAGTAAAATGTGCGTTATTATAATAAATATTTCATAATTCATAAATTGTGTTTCTGTGATGATAGTTTCTATATTATATTATAGCCTTCTACTAAAAAATAACAATATTGTATATTATAAATAATTTATTCTTATTTCAAATTGATAAACTTGAAATAGTTTATTTTTAAAAAGAACTTTCTCATCACATTCACTGCATTTTTAGATGCTTTTTATTTTATTATAATATTCTATTTGTTTTATGTTTGTTTTTATTTTATTTAGAAAAATATGATTATGTTGGACGTTTATTGAAACCTGGAGAATCTCACAGTTACTATACTGACGAAGAAGAAACCCCTACCAACAAACTCCATCTAGAAAATCCAAAACAATGTGAATCTGAAAAACCTAAAAACTATGCTGGAGGAGATTCTACAAATATAAATGAGTTATTAAAAACTGAAACCAAAGATAACAATAAAGAAACTGCAGACAACAACAGCAGTAGTAATCTATCTTCAGACAATATTGATGAGAAACCTGAGGCCACTAAATTATTGAATAACCCAACTAAACAAGATGAAATTCATACCTTGGAAAAATAGTACAAATTATTTAAATTAACATCGGTATTTATTTTCAACTATGGGGGACTATGAACGGTTACATCCGTTACGGTGATGGGATTCATTATATACTGTAAGGGTGTTAAAGTTTTTTGTTTTTGTACTTAATAATATGACTGAAATCAGCAATTTTATTATGATTGAATTTTAATTCTTTTCTTTTCTGGATCTTCATTATTTGAACAAAAATGAAGATAAAAATATCTATTTAAGTTCAAAATAATCAGTGTTAGTGTTTATACATTTTGAATGAAGAATAATCTGGTTTTGTTCCTTTATTCAATTTTTGTTGAATACAATTGAAGGAATTACATTTTTATTTTTTATAACTATATAATAAGTATAAATAATATAATAATTTAGTAGTCGTTTTAATCTTTTAGTGTTACCTGATTAATTCAAAATGTACCATTATGTTACAGGGAACACAAAACATTTTTTTTCTAATAACCTAGGAACTAAGTTTACCTACATTACATTTTTTTAAATGACAGAGTTATTTTGATAGTAAATATTTTTTAAATTTTGCTAAATTACACATGGTATAGTTGTACAGCCTGCACGTATATATTTTGTCTTACTAATATAGCTTTTATTAAAAAAAAAAATTACTGCCCTAATGGTGTAATAATATTTTATTATACAAAAGTAACCATTCCTTGAAACACTGTTGACAAAGGTAGATAACTACATCATTTTTGTTTATTTTTTAACAATTATGTTACCTTAATCATAATGGAAATTTCTTATATGCATTCTTATGTTTTTGGTGTGTTTTAATTGATAAAATAATAATTATATATATATATATTGTTTTCTTACTATTTTCCTAAAAAGTCACTTCTGCAATGTTAAAATGATTGTTTGTTACATAATATAAAGGTTTCTTACAAATAAAGAGTTAAATTGTTTTTTATATACCTATTTATTTATTTATTTATGTATATTAATTTCAAAAGATCATATATTCCATCATACATTTAACTGAACAAACCTTTAAACAATAGTTTTGTATAATTTTCAAAATTAAAATTAAATAACTCAATTTTTATTTCATTAGCTAATGACGGATTCTAATTTTATTGATATGCAAAACATAATTTGATTTTTGTTAAAATACAAAAAAAAATATTGGTTGATAAAATGATATACTCCAGTCACCCTAAACTTAAGAAAACTTAATAGTTCACCAAATTTGTATTACCAATTAAAGTTTATAAAATGATGGTACATCATTTATTTTATCCTGATGAACTAATAATATCAAATGTGTTTAATAATGGCTTTTAATAAGAATACAACTCATAAGTAATGATACATTTGAAGGCCATAAAATAGTGTATACACTTGGACATTATCTAGACATTTAATTTCCTTTCAACTTATGTAGAAAATAAGGTTTTTAAGAAAACAGGATTAGTGAATTCTTTACAGTTCCTATAATAGTGGTCAATTAGTAACTGATCTGCTGTACAGTTAAAGTAAATTATACCTCAATATTGAGTAGGTTTCTGTAAAATACTGTTGTATGTTAAATATTTTAGTTCAATGCTTAAATTATTACATATAAAAATAGTTATTCTTCTAAATGTTTATTTTAATTAATTTGTTAGTTATTAATGATACATTTTTTTTCTATTAGTAATACAGTTTATTGGACTAATTATTTCAAAAAATAAATCACATTCAGGTATTGTTATATAATATGTATTATATTCACAGTCCTGCTCATAAGTCTATGTTGACTGAGATACCATAGAGTATGGTGTTAAATGTTAATAGGTTTGTTTTATAAAATCAAACTAAATATATTGAACATTTTATTGAGTCAATAATAATATACAGTGTCTAAAAGTTTCAAGTTCCTCAGAATAATATTATTTTAATAACAAAAAATAACTAAAAAACATTATTTTTTGTTTAAATATTCAATTTTGAAAATATTTTTAACTTGAAATGTCTATAAAAGTAAATTGTACATATTATTATGTATTTTTGATATTTTTGGGTTGCTGTAAGAAAAACATGAAGAGCTTTGTATAATTTTGTACATTGTACATTTTTCTAGCCTTGGCCATAGTTTTTAAAGCATGAAATTCAATAATTTCAGTTAAATTTTTAGTTTTTTCCATCTGGCGAATTTGCAAAATGTGATTATGATAAATGTTTGTAAAAATGTCAAATTAAACGCTTATAAAATATTATGTGAGTGTATATTCGATGTCTTTTAATTAGGGGATTGAACAATTTATGAAGAACCTTACACCTATGTTCAAAATTTTTTAGTTAAAATTAAAAACTTGAACAAAATATCTAAAATTGTTCCAAGAGAAATCGTTATCCGTTATTTTACGGTAAGGGTACATAATACGCACTACGCGGCCAAGCGGCTGGCCAACCGCAAGTAATAATCCATGTAACGACATTACGACTTTAAATATGTAAATATCATATTCTATATGATATTATTATATAAACAATTTCATTCGCACTTCGTTGCGGCTAACCGCAAAACCGTTCCGGTCGCTTGGATCGCTGCAGCCGCCCCGACGTATGACCGCACGGTCGGTGTGCGGTTGCGGTCCGTGCATTCAGTATGCGGTAAGCCGTCAGTTCTCGTTAGCGTCTTTTTCTGACGACATTTGGATTATGAAGTTTGATACAGAAACATTTATCACCGAAATCAAGAAGCGACAATCACTTTGGAACACAAATTGCACTGGTTACTCCGACAGAAATATTAAACACAGAGAATGGGAAGAAGTGGTCAATATTTATGGTGCTGAGTTATCATCGGAAGAAAAAAAAAAACTCAGTTAGTATTATTTAATTACTTAATAATTATATCGTTTGTAAATTTACATTAAATTGTTAAAGACGGCATACTAAATAATATACTATATCTACAGCCGTGGAATTATTATATAGAACTAATTTAATTGAAACTAATCACTTTTAAATTATCTTGCCAGTCTAATCTCATTCGGTCGTATAATATTATGCGAATAATTGACGATATCTCAATGCAATTCTGTTATTTTTTCTCACGTTTTCTTTAAAAAAAATAAAGCAATGTTTTCGGTTAATATTTAATGGCACGGCTGTAGATAGTACTATCTAGTAATATCTACAGCCGTGGCCCGTGGTAATGGGTAGTAGCATTGATTATAAATACTAGTATTTATAATCAATGGTAGTAGTAAGTTGTTTATTGTTTTCGAAAGACAAAACGAAAACATCTCTGCTTATCACAAAATTGTGCAAGACAAGCAGATTTGATAATACCATTCGCTAAATCAATGTTATTCTATAACGCTCTATAGAAAATGCGCCATTTATTAATTATCAAATGTGCCTAATGTGCATTCTGCGTAACGTCTAGCCATGCAGGCTGCAATGCCTATAGGTATACTTTTTGTTCGTAACATTTTAATCGTTTCTTGAATATAGCCATAAAGGTGCATCATACTTGTACTTAAATCAAATATTTTAACAAAAACTAACCGCAAACAAGTGGTATAATTTGGGTGAACTTGGTGATAGTTCGGGAACGTTTAGACGATTCTCCTGAATTTTTATTACAATAATTAGAATCGTTGAGCCTACAAATGTCCCATACGCTGCATCGTCTATTAGTACAATTTGCCATCAAAACTAGAGAGAAAATCCTTTATAATTGTAGCCCATTGATTCACTATTGGACGGTACAATAATTCTAATATTATGTTTACCACCACATGCACCTATTCAGTAAGAAAAATTCGCTCTCTTAAGAAAATCATTTGCAATTGGACACCATATTGCAGTACATACTTCTACTTTCTGTGACACTACTAATTCTAATCTGTTATATTATACTGCAATACATAGTTCTGCAAATGAACACCCTGTTACCAAATATTTGAAACAATTAATTTTTTCAGGTGTGAATCTTCAGAAAAAATGGCGGAATATACGTGATTGTTTTGTAAAAGCCCACAAAGCAAAGGAGGCCAAAAGCGGTCATGCTGCGAAAAAAAAATGTTCTTACATTTTCTACGACAACCTTTTATTTTTAAAAGATACTGTATCGTTTGATTCAACAACTTTGAATATTACTTCAAATGTAGAAAGTAATAATGCAGATGAAGTCTTAGAAGGTCAATATATAGCTACGCGTCCTTCCAATTCCTCAAAGGAACCACATCACACTGAAAAAAATAAAAATGATGACATTGGTAGGGAGTTAATAGGGATTTTAAATAAAAAAATAGAATCAAACATTCTTGGAGAAGACGAAGATCGTCTTTTTTTCATGTCGCTGGTAAAAGACTTTAAAAAAATACCAGAACACTTGCGCTTACAAACAAAATTGGATGTTTTAAAAGTCATTCGAGACGCTCAGGCGTTAAATTATCCAAAAAAAAGGGCTTGAATACTTAGAATAATCCATATTGTGGACAATTTGACACAGAGAAGACACCATCTTTATAAAATTTCACCTATGCAAATCTGTACCATTTGTTAGTGTACAGTATACACTGTAATGTAATAGACTATAGCTTAAAATAAATCCAAATTTTTAATGTACATAATTATGTTAAGTCCCCACAAATACTTTTGAATTATACAAAAAAATATATATTAAAAATCCATATTATCCTATTATACCATAAAAAAGTGGGTAACAGTATGCTGTATATTAGGTCACTAGAGACTTCACTGTAATTGATGTGATAAATTTTAATTCAATTATATAAAATCATTTTATACAACAAAAAAAGAGCTAAAGATGATCTGTCAGCCTATAATATTACTAAGTACATTTTATATTATTGTCATAAGAGAAATTTATTGTATTATTAGACATTACAGTACTACACTAAGTTAGAATAAAGTAATCTAAAGTACCAAGAAATAGTATTTTTAAAGTGCACCAAAAAAACTAAAATTGTAATTTTTTGTTTAAATATCTAATGTTATCAAAATTTGAACTTAAAATGTCCATAAAAAACTGTGTTCAATATTTAAGTATTTTTTTAGAAGTATATTCTATATATTATATTTTTGAAAACTACTAGGTACTTTACATGTTCACCTCTCGAATACAGTGTACACTAACTAGATTCACTTTCCCTCCAGAAAATGTATTTAAGTTACACAGTAGTACTTATGAACTTAAGTACATACATAGACAAAAGAACACTCATTATAAAATTGAATATAAATGAGTAGGTATGATAAAACATCTGTTTTGGTGTTGTACTCATAGACCTTATACTTTAAGAACATTAAAAGTAGCTACATTATACAAAATAAAAAATGTCAGCATTCAATTAATTCTGAACATTATTAATGTATTAATGCATATGTACCTAAATAAAAATAAAAATTAATTTCTACAATTGTTTAGATATAAATTTTGTATATTGATCATGATACCTGTAAAACCACCAGACATTTAAAATATAATGTTTGTTACTAAATATGACCCCTACAGTTTTCTTATATTGTTCATTGAATAAAAACCACTACTAATAGAAAACTGTACGTTCTTATTCTGTATCTCACGCACACTTTTATATAGTGAGTAATCTACTAGGATAATCATCATAAATAATTTTAAATAGTGCATTCATTTAAATAAAATACAAAGAATAATTGGCATTTGTCAATTAAATATGTAAGCTTTGGGTAGAATATTATGTTATATCATTAAGCTGCACAAATTAAGTTTTAAAGAAATACATAGTTATTAAATAATAGTAATTTTTATATTTATTTAACTTAGTAATAAATTAAAATGATACCCTTATTTTATTTACTTAACCTAGTAAAATCAAGGAGATGAGTTACTATTTTTTTTTTTAACTTTATTAAATAATAATGATAGGTTAAAATAAAACTGATATTCTAGGAGCGATATGTTTTATTTATATTCAATTATATTTCAAGTGTAACTAATAATATTTTAAAAATTATTAGATTTAAAAATGTAGATTAATTATTTAAATAAAAATGGTACAAAGTAAATTAATAGTACTAAGTAAAAACCTTTCACATAGAAATTTATTTTAAAAATGTCAGAGTTCATTATATTATAATAATATTAAACACTTACATGACGCTCAAAAACAAATTGAAAAAAACATAGGATTTTTGTATTCGTTGTTTTATAACAATACATTATTTTTACATCTTTATTAAAATTTGATTACTTAAAATATTAAAAAAATTCCAAAAAAAAAATAATAAATGACAAACATAACTTATTAATAATTAACATACTTGCCTTAACTAATAGTTAAATTATGATTTTATAAATATAGACTGTCAACTTAGCAATACTGTTAATGCATCGAAAAAAGTTGGGCGGTCTTTAATTTGCATTTTAGCAATAGACGAGTCAAAGTAATCTAGTGCAATATCTATATTCGTTTTATTGGCCACTTGCTCAAAAGCTTTTCCGAAAAAGCTGAAATATTAAAAATAATTATAATGAGTATAACTTAACAATTTTAAATTACATGAGTAATAAATAATATTAAAACTTAAAATATTTATATATGTATTAAAAATAAATTACATTTACTTTTAGTTTGCAGGAAATAGTTGAATGTTTTAATTTTTTTTTTAATCAGTATGTACCTAATTTCCAATTAATTAAAAAAATATGATGTATACATTTTTTGGTAAATAAATAAAAATTGTAGCTACTGAAAATATGGGAACAATCATTAATGCGATCATAAGTAATAATGGCAGGGACAACTTTCTTGTTACAAACACATGTATTTAATATTTCAACATGGTTTACAACTTACTTTAATATTTAGTAACAACTAAATATTCTAATCTAAACTTGGATATCAATTGGTATTAGTTATCACTGCTTGTAATTCAGAACTATAATGACACTTAAAAAAAGTATACAATTCTTAAATTTTACCTTCTAGGCAATGATTCTGTAATAGGTGGAATACCAACTATAATACAAGTATCTTGGTCCGAATCAAGAACTGCTGAAGCAATTAATGGCAAACGAGTATTTTTATTTTTATGTGATGATGCGACTTGAGCCCTCAATGCAAATGAAGCTAACATAATTAATAATTGTGGATCAGAATAATGCTGTGAATTTAATGTACCCTGCAACAATTAATAAATTAATTTTACTTAAAAGTGGGCAAGTAAGTACCGCTGTGCTGTACATAGGGTGTCTAGAGGATCACAGTAAATGTATTAAAATCATTATACACGAAAGATGATTCTGAGCGAAGTCAGTTTCTATCAAGTATATTTCTTCATATGTTTTTTATATTGCTATTAAAAAAATGTATTTTATCATATATTTTAATTAATTTTTAAGTCAAAACCACCTTACCATAGAACTAAATAGAAGTAAAGGCTTAAATGTCTATCTTAATATTTTGAAAATGTAAACATTTTAAATAATTAATAAACCTATACTCCGTCAGCCGAGAGAAAGCTACCGGGCGGCAAACAAAACTCTTCCATCTCTCACACTTTTTATTTTGGACATCCTAAAATACTCACTGATTTCACTTTCCTACCAGAAAAAATGATGAAGTTAAAAATCTAAGTATAAATACTGCCCCAAAATTAAAAAAGAAACCTAAAGCATTGTAAAATCAATACATTCATCCGCTCAGAATCTATAGTTGTTAAAAAAAATGTTTAGAAATTATATTATTTAAGTAATTTAATAACTACAAATTTGTTACCTCTTGGACAATTAAGTAATAAAATGGACCAGCTAATATCACTTGCCGCATATCCAATGCTGCTTGTATGTGCCTAAACATATTAGTCAATATCCATTTAGCTCTTTCGATTCCTTCATCTAATAAATTTTTTTTGGAGCTATAATAATTGATTATATATTAATTTGTTATCCTGTGAAAAATCATTATCTTATTTATTACAAATACATACCGAGATAATAAATCCATTGTATTATAAAAACACTCGGTAGATGATTTTCCGTGAATCTAATTTTTTTTTTTTAATATTAATATAGTTTAGTTCAATATAATACAATATATTTTATAAAATGTCTTCATAACTTACATTACTTTCCAAAGTAGCAATCATTGAGTAAACATAATCAGCACTTTGGTATCGGGTTTTAAAGCCTTGATGTAATATGAATGAAGGATAAGTTAAGTGTAACAAATTATGAGTATTGGATATTTTTTCCATCATCCCAAAAAATTGTTTTCGCAAATTTAAATCCATAGAATGGTACATTTGACGACTTTCCGATAAAGGTAACCTATTATAGTTGAATATAACAATATTTTTTTTTAAACTACAGCAGATTTCTTATACTAATAAATAGTTGGTACGATAGTTTGTGAATGTAATTACCCCATCTCAGCTAAAATTTGCTTCAATCTTTTTTCTCCTTTAACAGTCCAAAGTTTTAAAGATACAGCTGTAAACATTGAGTACCGAAGGCTTGATTCAATTGTCCAATGTCTGTATAAGGCTAATAACAAACTGTGAATTATATTATCATTATTCTAATTTCTGTGTCTAAGTAGTTATATTAATAGCTCGGTATTTCTTACTCTTTTTCAGATTCAATCCTCAAACTTAAAATATCGTTTGAAGGTACTGTTTGTGACATAGATTTCAACTCGTTATGATTAATAGCAGATTCACAAATACGACCAATGTGATCACCAATCAACTCAACTTCTTTTAAGTAACGCATATTTTCAGTTTTACCAAAAATGTATTGCTCAGTTACACCAATAATACCCCACCTAAAAATGTATTTTTTAATTTAAATATTCAGATTAATTATTAGACAATTTGACTATAATTTAATAATTGTATATGAATAAATAATTATTAATTCTCCCCATCCCACAACCTCTACAAATGTTAAGCTTACCACAATACATCAACAGTTTCTCTATGTAATTTCCAAGCAAGATCATACATTAATATAGCAGTCTAAAAATCAAAAATTGAATAATATATAGAATCTTAGTCAAACATTTCATAAAAAAAACAACAAACCGATCTTCCATAATATGAAAATTGAGTATAATCAAATAAAAGTTTTTTTCTTTTTTCTTCCCAATTTCTTCTTTCTTTTCTTTTTATGAACGTAGTTTGTTGAAGCATTCTCCTTTCGTTTTGACGTTTCTCAACAGAATCATTACCCGAGTCTTCATTTAGATCATCAGAATTAGAATCTTCTTCAGATGACTAGAATGACATATTTAAAAGAAAAGTAACCTATGAATTTTAATTTTTTTTAAATAAACTTTTTTACCTCTTTGTCAATAAATATATCATCAAACTCAGGTATTTTTTCATCCTTCTCAGGAGAAGTGATAATTCTTATCTAAAGTATAAAAATATAGGTATTTAATCTATTCTGTAAACACAAAGTAGTAATATTTACTTGTGAACTACTGTATACATTGCAAATGTCTGTGGGCCTATGACTATCAATAACAAAAAAAATTATATCTTCTTCTGGTTCTAAAATATCTATTATATCTAATGAACCACCACAGTTTATTAACACTATATGCTTTACCTATAAATTGGAATAAAAATATACAGTAAGTAAATGGTCAATATTTCCTCACTTAAAGTTAACTAATAAAGTAAAATCAAATTGAATTATTTACATCTGCTTTTTGTTCCTGGTAAACTTTTTTCAATTCAGTAATAGTTTTTACCGGCACAAGTACATAAATAACATTATCAAAACGTAATATATATTGAAATATTTTAGCAGCACAAATTGCATCCACATCATAATTTACCAAGATTAAAATTTTCTAAACATAATAAAAAAAAAAAATTAAACAATAATTATGAATTCCAATTTTAAAAATTGTCTTTTATCAAAAGTACAAAACCATAAATAAGGATGTTTTATTCTTAATTTATTTTGTACTAGTAGATAACAATGTGCCTAGTTTCTTATTAAATGAACAATAGCTTTAATTATATTATATTTAGGGGCATACTTAGTAGTTATAATAAAAACCATTGTTTAATTAGAAAAAAATATTTTGTATTTACCTACAAAAATAAAATATATGAATATCAATAATTCGATTGGGACATTAAAAATGAAAAATAGTTAGGTACATGGTATCTCATTGAAATTTAATCAATTAAAATATAACAGATGAACAATCAAAAATTCAAAAACATAATATTTAATTATTATTAATATTAATTCTACAAAGAAATACACCTAGGTAGTTAAATAATTAATTGTACCTGGATATTAATAATTGTCTATAATAGTTGGAATAATATACAGTGTCCATGGGAACACTATAATTCAGTAAATTCAGTACTATAAGGTACATATTTTTGAAATCTGTTGGAGGAATATGAAACTATACTACCTGGCCATTATTACCTCTAACTTATAATTTGTTAATTCATATATTCTGCATAATAAGCACGACAGAAATTATTTTTTTCAAAATAAGAACCACTATTTCTAACATACTTTTAAGAGTCGTTGGATTTTTTAAATCA